TTATTGTGCCCATCTTTGGGCAAAATGTTCCCTTGATATCTCCAGTTTTCCTGAAGAAATCTCTAGTCTTTCCTCTTCTATTGTTTTCTTCTAGTTTTATACATTCTCGTTAAAGAAGGCCTTATTGTCTCTCTGTGCTATTTTTGGAAATCTGCATTTAGTTGGATATAGATTTCTCTTGACACACAGATGATCAATAAGGACATGAAAAAATGCTCAGCATCACTCATTATTAGAAAAATGAAAATTAAACCTACAACAAGATGTCGCTTCATACCAGTCTGAATGACCATCATCAGAAAATCTACAAACAATAAATTCTGGAGAGGGTGTGGAGGAGAGAGGACCCTCTTGCAGAGTTGGTGGGAATGTGAGCTGATTCAGCCACTATGGCGAACAACATGGGGATTAAAAAACAACAACAAACCTAGAAATAAAGCTACCATACAATCAAGCAAGCCCACTATGGGGCATATACCCTGAGACAATCATAACTGAAAGAGACACATGTACGCTAGTGTTCATTGCAGGACTGTTTACAATAGCTAGGACATGGAAGCGACCTAGATGTTCATCAACAGAAGCATGGATAAAGGAGCTGTTATACAAAGGAACAGATTGGAGTCAGTTCTAATGAGGTGGATGAACCTGTTATACAGGTTTAAGTAAGTCAGAAAGAGAAAAACAAAACTTTTATTCAGAGTACTTGAAAAACAAATTTGTTTGCTATTATTAATAGTATAAAATGCTTTACTCTCAATAACAGCATTTTTATTTGCCTTGTTATTGACCTGGGTTTCTCTTAGAATGGGAGCTTTTAAAAACCATGTATTTTAAGGTACTGTTAATTTTATGACATATCCTAACAGTGTCATGGTAGCATTTTAAAGAATGTGTGTGTGTTCAGTTGCTCATTTGTTTCTGACTCCTTGGGACCCTGTGGACTGTAGCCTGCCAGTCTCGCCTGTCCGTGGAACTATCCAGGCAAGAACACTGGAACGGGTTGCCTTTTCCTTCTTCAGGGCGTCTTCCCAACTCAGGGGCTGGACATGTGTCTCCCGAGTCTCTTGCACTGGCTGGCAGAGTTTTTACCACTGCGTCACCTGAGAAGCCCAATGTGAAGAGTAATTATATAAAAAACACTTTTTTAAAGACCTGGGAACGTGTACACCAAATAAAATCACATTTCCCGTGAGAGCAATCATTTTCTTTTTTTTGAAACACACACACGCATATCCTATGTTGACTTTGGGGAGAGGAGGAAGGAGGGACATTTTTATAGTAGCCCCCTGCTACCGCAGTGTACTTGTTATTGTTCTTCATATGGTGCTGTGTTATCAGGAATTTTAGTGGCAAATGTCAAATAAAAAAAAAAAAACCCTCAAACTGACAAGTTAAAACTTGAGTTTATTGACTCACTAGTGACAAGCTGTGAGTGGAGGTCAGAGAGGGACTGTGGCTGGCTTGAAGCCGCCTCTGCTATCAGATGTTCCTGGCTCCACTGCTCACTAACTCTGTGCAGTTTTGCTCACTTATTGCTAAACATTGTGAGCAGTATTTAGATATAGTATTAATAACACTGGGCTGGAAGAAGCACAAGCTGGAATCAAGATTGCCGGGAGAAATATCAATAACCTCAGATATGCAAATGACACCACCCTTATGGCAGAAAGTTGCAAGGAGATCCAACCAGTCCTTCCTAAAGGAAATCAGTCCTGGGTGTTCGTTGGAAGGACTGATGCTGAAGCTGAAATTCCAATACTTTGGCCACCTGATGTGCAGAGCTGACTCACTGGAAAAGACCCTGATGTTGGGAATGATTGAAAGCAGGAGGAGAAGGGGACAATGGAGGATGAAATAGTTAGTTGGCATCACCGACTCAATGGACATGAGTTTGAGAAGGCTATGGGAGTTGGTGATGGACAGGGAGGCCTGGCGTGCTGCGATTCATAGGGTCGCAAAGAGTCAGACACGACTGAGCGACTGAGCTGAACTGAACTGATTGCTAAGTAAGCAATGCTTACTCAGCCTCAGTCTCACTGTGTGAAGAGTGCAGAGTGTCGTATGAGCAGAATGAGACGTGATGCCTAGAGAGCAAGCAGCGTTACCATACACTTTCCTTTTCTAAGTCCTTTCTCTGCCCTTTAACCAACATTTTCCCATTTTCCCCAAATCCCAGCCCCTGGCAAACATCACTCTACTCTCTGTTTCTGTGAGTGTGACTTTTTAGGTTCTACGTGTGAGTGAGACAATACCTACAGTATTTGTCTATCTGTGACTTATTTCACTTGGCAAAATGCCTTCCCTGTCCACTCATATTTTCACAAAAGGCAGGATTCCCTTCTTTTTATGGCTGAATAATATTCCATTGGGTATAAATACAGTTGATCCTTGAACAGCATAGGAGTTAGGAGTGCCAACCCTCCATGTAATTGAAAATCCATAATTTCTTACAGATTGTATTTAATTGAGTCAGTTTTTCTATCTAATAGTCTGCCTTTATTGGTTTGTTTAAACTATTTACATTTAATGAAATTATTGCTATGTTAGCATTGATAAGTGTATCATTGAATTATGTGTTTTCTATTTGTTCTCTCTGATTTTTCTTTCTCTGTTTTCCCTGTCCTGCTTTCCTGTAAATTATTGAATGTTCTGTTCACTTTCTTATATGGGTCACTCATGGGTCTGCTCAGACGTTCACACCCAGAGTGAGGAATCCTTTCCACCAGCAGTTTCATCTCGCGTCATCCTCCTTTTGTTCTCGAGTTGGGACGGGAGAGTTGCTTTTTGCCCTCCTTTATTTACTTCACGGTCGTGGTGAGGCTGATCACCTACTCTCCACCCCACCTTCTCTGCAGCTGAGAACGCTGGCTCAGCAGCGTTACTGCGGGGTAGGGGCGGCTAGAAGGACCTTTCCGTGAGGACTGAGGCCTCCAACCAGCCTGCCTCCTTTTCTCCGTCAGTCTTCTGATGCCTGCTCTGTGTCTTTCCTCAGGCGTTTTACTTGTACTTAGCAGGAGTGATGGAGTAGAATGTGCCCCTTCTTGCCTCAAACTGGAAATGTGATCTGTAGCAAAACTCTTAATCATTTGTATTATTTTAATGCGGCCATTGTACTGTGCATAAAATGAAATCACACCATTTGGGGATTGTTGTTTTGTACATAACCTTTCCTTCTCTTTCTCTCTCTCTACACACACACACACACACACACGCCCACTAGAGTCTGTGCTGAGCATTCAGCTTCACAGTCGGGTTGAACTGCTTTCCTAAATCTCACAGTCTCCATGTTACCGAGTAGTATATTAAGGAAACTCTATTTGTGGGGATGAAGAAAAGAAGATGTTGATGATATGAATTATGTCCCAAAGCCAAAATACTATTTAAAACTACCAACCTTTGTTTATTCCTGCCAGGAAAGGAGTATTTGAGGGCTTTTTATTTTTAAAAATCATTTATGTAAAACTAGCTAGTGTTTTATTAAAAGAGACGAGTTAACTGCACTTTCAGCTAATAAGCCATTTAGGAGGTTTTAGAAAGATCTAGAATTTTATTCCTTGGGGGAACAGTGATGGTTTTCTATTCTACTTCTTCATTTTAAAAAGGAATAATTTAAGATGACTTCACAGTATTTACACAGTCTGAATCTATTGTGTTATATTTCCATAAGATAACAGAATTTTCAGGAATGACTTGGACTAATATCTTCCTTATGTGTTGAAATATTTTTAATATTTTATACAAAGTACATTTTCTGGAATGAGTAGGAAGAAATCACTACTAATATACTATAAATATACTTTTACTGACTTTTAGATCAGTTACTGTTAAAGACCTATGGCTACATTATTGTATTTTTTAAGTATTAATATTTCCAGGGTGCTCAATACTTAGGCAATGAGTTTCTGCAATGTCAATAAGTTAAAGACCTTTCATTCCTACTCCTATTCAGTGATGTCTCTGCAACTCAACCACAGCAATGTGTTTTTAATTAAAAAAAGTTTTTTTTAATTGCCTTGGCTGTGCCTCTCAGCATGCAAGGCGCTTAGTTCTCTGACCAGGACCAGAGGTTGAGCCAGCGCCCGCTTCAGTGCCGGCTGGAGTCCTCACCCCTGGACCTGCAGGGTCGTTCCGCAGCCCTGGTTTTACAGCATGTGTTTAGTTGGACCCTGGCTGCATATTGGACACTGTATATTGAGGTGCATTTTGAAATACTTTTGGGTTAAACAACCTCTTGCGTTGATCTACCGTCTACCCCCCGAAGCTCTCCCTCAGCTTGTTCTTAGTTCTTTCCTGGTCTGGCTTAAATCACACTATTCCCTTTCACCCCCTTGCATGTTCCCTGAACATGAAGCACGCCCCTCCGGTCTCTGTCTCGGCCGAGCCCCTCTCCGCTGCAGCCCTGCACCCCGGCGGGGGTACCCCGGACACAGAGACCCGGGCTGGCTTGCTTCCTGCTGAAGTCAGCATGGTTGAGGCCCCGTGAGCTCTGCCAGCTGCCGGGAGTCCGACAGTGTTGCCCTGGTGTGTTTCTCCTGATCCACTCGATGCCTCCCCTACTTCCCTGCACTCCTCACACCTGCCCAGCGTTTGGCTCTCTGTCCATGAACTCGCTTCCTCTTTTGCTATGAAAACAGAAGCCACCAGCCAGGGTCCCCCACAAGCTCCCCCAGGCGTCCTCCTGCCGCCCCCACCCCACCCATTCCCCCTTCTCTGGACAAACATCCTTTCTCTCCTCCCCCTCCATCCTTCTCCCTCACGCCTTAGGTCCTGTTTCTCCTGGTCCATCCTGCAGTGGTTTACCCCAGTATCTCCCGCCATGACCTTTTTCCTTCTCAGCTGGAGGTTCCGCACCACATCCCAACCTCCCATTTTTCTTCCACCTTAAAATTCTTCTTCCTCGTTTTCCCCTCTACCTTACACTCTACTTCCCCTTTGTAGAAGAGCTGTTTGCATTAGCGATCTCCAATTTCTCTCCCACATTTTTTTCATTCCTTCACCTTGTCACCAAAACTGTGCTCTTGGGGGTCACCGGCGACGTCACGCTGGTGATGGTCAGCTCTGGTCCTCATTCATCTGGAGGCGGATCGCTGCCTTCTCAGTGAGAGGTGACCTGCGCTAGGCCTCTGCCCGTCTGCCCCTTCTCCTGCTAGAACTTTCTGGACACGTCTTCTCTGTCTGCTGGCCCCTCTCCTCCCCGACCTTGGAATGTCAGAGGGACTATTGTTCCGTCCATTTGATTTCCTTGGTGATTTCATCCAGTGTCCTGACTTCAAGTTTTCTCTAAACATTGGTAACTCCCAACTTGTGTTTCTTCGCCTGGATTGCTCCCCTAAGCTCATATAGCTATGTGAGACTCGTCGGGAGGATTGCTACTTAACGCCTGTGTCAATATGTGATCAGCCCCATCAGTCAATCAGCCTCTCACTTGGAGCATGGCCAGAGGAGCCCCTGTTGTCCCCTTTAAGACCTGCCCCCTCAGCTTCATGGCAGTTTGCTGTTAGTTTTTATCCTTGCCTATCCTCCTGTTCTATCTTGTCTCATCCCATCATAGCCATTCTATGCTATTCTCATAATTCGCAGCAGTCTACCCTCAACCAGTCAGACGGAGTCTTGCTATCGAAGCAGAATTCAGATCGTGTTCTCCTCTGCTCAGAATCCTCCAGTGCCTTTTAGCTGGGCTTGGGATAAAAGCGAAGTCTATATGGGGACCTTCAACATCCATCTAACCTGACGCCCTCTGTCTTACGCGTCTCCTGTTCCTTCCCCTTCAGTTACAGCAGCACCCCTCCCAGCCTGCTCTGCCTCAGATCACAAACTAAGCTGAATTTCTTCCAGGGCCTTTGCACTCACTGTCCCCTCTGTCTAAACCACTCTTACCTAGAAGAGCGCATGACTCATACGCTTCCCAGATCAGCTCTTTACTGAAACGTCATTTCACTCGACCTTTCTTCAGGCTCTGTGTCCACGTTGTGACACCTCCATACGCAAACCTTCTTTTCCTCTTCCTTCCATATCACCTGTTATTAAAAAAATCGCTTATTGTACTTGTGGATTTTATCTGTTTTCTATCTTCCCCACTTGAACCTAAGTTCCATGAAAGCAAGGAATTCTGTCCGTGTAGTTTACTGTTGTATCTTCAATACCTAGAAAAGACTCTGGCATATACTGGATACTCAAGAATGTTTATAGAATGGTTAGAGTGAATTAGAATGTTTATAGAATGGTTAGAATGAATTAATTTTTCAGGCAGGAAGAGAATCCATGTGATATAATTGTTATAACTTTATTTGAGAGAATACTATTTGGGAAATGAGATATACAACTAGTTACTCCATAAAATCCAGAATCAAGCATAGTAGAAAAAAGAAGATATTTCTCTAGGGTAACAATCAAGTCCTGGTAAGTCTTTAGGGATTATGTTTTGCAGGCCATTGATCTCTTCTTTCTTTATAAGTTCAGGTCACACCATTCGACAACTTTCTCTAAGTCTTTGAGTCCGTGGACAGGTTGACCAGCGGTGTCTGTGGCTGGCTCTCCATCTGTGCCCTGGAAATCCTCTGCGTGTGGTTCACACGCCTCCTCTTACCAGGCAGGCTCACCAGCTCAAAGCCTTTTCCTCTCTCATCTGAGCAGGTTCCCATTTTAAGATTCGTTAATCAATACTTTTTCCCATTTACATCGTATTAAGAGGCAATTTAAAAGTTTAATCAAAGACTTCAGCAATTGGTGCTGATTATGCATGCCGAATTAAATCTGGGGGCTGCAGACTGTGCATTGATTCATGGGTGAGGTCCTCAGTGCTGGGAAGTGAAGGGAAGCAGGGTTTCTCTCTGTGCTGTGGGGGAGTATTGATCTATTTGCCTTTGTGCTTCAGTGCTGCCTGGTCAGTTATTTACAGATCACTGAAACAGGGATGATCAGGAGCCTCTGAAAGAGGCAGAGTGAATTTCCTGTGCTTCGAGGCTGTGTTAATGATGAGGCTATAATACAAAAGCACGTGGTTATAAAGAAACAGATTTGCCCCAGTGGCTGATGACCAGGGGGCTTAACCAGGGTTTCTCTATTTTATTTTTAATTAATTTTTATTGGAGTGTAGTTGATTTACAAAGGTGTGTTAGTGTCTGCTACACAGCAAAGTGAGTCGGGTATACATATACATCTGTCCACTCTTAGTTTTAGATTCTTTCCCCTTATAGGTCCTTACAGCACACTGCATAGAATTCCCTGCGCAGTCCAGCAGGCCCCTGTGAGTTCTCTATTATACGTGCAGTAGTGTCTATATGCCAGGGCCAATCTCCCAAACTCTCTCCCCACACCCGGTACCCTCCGTCATCATAAATTTGCTTTCTACGTCTGTGACTCTACTTCTGTTTTGCAAATAAGTTCATTTGTATCATTTTTTTAGATTCCACATATACATGATAGTATATGGTATTTGTCCCTCTCTATCATGACTTATGTCACTCAATATGACAGTCTCTAGGTTCATCCAATTTTTTATTTATTTTATATAGTTCCCTGTGATATACAAAAAAGGTCACTTTAAATAAAAACAATTTTGATATAAAGCATCTCTGCATCTCTATGCTCTATTTTCAGTGGCCTTCCACAGGTCGAACATGGCCCCACCAGAAGGAAAGCACAAAGTTGGTGATGAGTTTTGCCGTGTGGGTGTAAAAATAGATGGTGTCAAAGCTCCCTCCTACCTTTAGAGTCACTGCTGCTAATATGGCACTCGTTTTGTAGCACATATTTTTCAAGAGCCTGTTTGTTTCAAGTCCTATATAATGTCCTGGGAATATAAAAAGTGAATAAGAAAGCATTTTAAAACTTCTTTTTCTAAGGAATTAATTATGAGTATTATATGGGATAAATATTAGTGCTTTGAACTGGATTATATTAATATTCACAAAATGTAGATGAAGAAGTTGACAGTTTAGCTTTCCTTTGAATGATATATGCAGTATCACACCTCTGGAAAGAGGTGGAAATAGAATTCAAGCTATGCTGGCCTGCATTCAGAAATAGACCATCTGTGAGCTGTGCTATAGGCTAGGAGCTGGGTGTACCCCCACCGAATCCAGCTGCTGACACCCTACCTGCCAGTGTGACTGTGTGTGGAGACTTGGCCGGTAAAGAGGTGGTTAAGGTTAAATGAGGTCATTGCAGGCAGGGCCCTCATCCAGCAGGACTGATGCCTTCACAAGAGAAGGAAGAGGCAGCAGAGACACGGCACACGAAGGCCATTTGAGGGCACGGTGACGACGCAGCCGCCTGCCAAGGGGGACTGCCCGGGGGAGCCAGCCCTCCGGCAGCTTGTCTTGGACTTCCGGCCTCCAGACCTGGAGAAATGCTGCTGAAGTCAAGCCGTCTGCGATCACTAGTTACGGCGCCCGGGCGCCTAAGATGTCACACTTTGTCCCAGGGGTCTGAAGTCTCTTTTGAAACTTGCCACAGGACTCTGTGTACAATAGATGCGGAATAAATATTAATAGAGGCCCATCAAAGACACCCTAAACCAATTCAGCAGAGAGAGCCCAGCCAATCCTGTGACAGCAAACCCACTGGACTGATGACAAGCGGCCTACTGTCGAATCGAAGGCCCATCAAAGACACCCCAAACCGATTCAGCAGAGAGAGCCCAGCCAATCCTGTGACAGCAAGCCCACTGGACTGATGACAAGCGGCCTACTGTCGAATCTAAGGCCCATCAAAGACACCCCAAACCAATTCAGCAGAGAGAGCCCAGCCAATCCTGTGACAGCAAGCCCACTGGACTGCGGACAAGCGGCCTGCTGTCGAATCCACTGCGACAAGAGGCGCCGGCACCCAGACCTGCTCGGCGGCTGAAGGCCTTCTAAGAGGCCTCTGGAAGCAGAGTGAACGACCGGAAGCTGTTGAAGGACTCCCAGGGGCTCAAAGGTGAGAAACGACTCTGAATACATAGAAGATAGGGAGCCTGCTGTGGGAGCAGAACTCATTTTAAAACAAGAGAGAGAAGCGATCAGTAAAATGTGATTAATACAAAATATTTGTGTGTGTACATTCACAAGCATACTCCACGCCCCTGAATAATTTCTAAACGAGACATATTTCCCGGCTCCCCTGGTGACTCAGTGGGTAAGAATCTGCCTGCCAATTCAGGAGACACGGGTTCGATCCCTGGTCTGGGAAGATCCCACGTGCCGCGGAGCAACCAAGCCCGAGCGCCACAGCTCTGGAGCCTGCGCCTTAGAGCCTGGGACCCACGGCTACGGAGCCCGTCTGCTCTAGAGCCTGCGCTCCGCTCCAAGGGAAGCCGCCGCAGAGAGAAGCCTGCAAGCGGCGTCGAGAGTAGCCCTGCCGCTCACCACGACTGGAGACAGCCCGCACCGCAAGGAGACCCAGCACAGCCGTAAATAAGTAAATAAATGAGCATTTAAAAATATTAAAAAAATATTTTCAGATGAAAATGGAGGTCAGCTACTCTAGGATGAGTTCCAGTTCGGGTGCCAGGAAGTATGATTTTTAATGCAGATTTATTCAAACTGGTGAAAGGCCAGTGCCTTCATTTTGTGTTTGTTTGGTATTTTCCCTGACAGTTTTACAGCAATGAAGATGTTGACTTGCATCCGTAATCCATGTTGAGTAGCTGACTAGGTATTTATCTTATGTTACGTTCCAAGCAAATCCTTTCTGAAGGCAGAGCCAGTGGCAGCCTTCGTCTGACAGGTGGCTTCTTGGCAGCCCACGTCGGCAGCTCACTGGTGGGCTCTGAAGTGCCTCTAGAACAGTTCATCTGGACTCCATTCTTCTCTTATATAACAGAATTAATGTTCTTTTTTTTTTTTAGAATTAGATTACCTGTGAAGAAGTAATACAAATAACAGGAGACAGTTTCCTGTACACGACGAACAACTAAAAGGAGTTTCCATTTGCTTGATGACGTTGTAAGATTTTAACTGTCCAAACACTTTCATCCAAAAAACTGCAGTGGACAGTGCACGTGGAGTGCTCATATTTCTACATTTGGAATGAACCAAGAAACTGTGTTAAGATAGTGCTTACAGCATGTTCTTAGACCTGTGAAATTCTAAACCTGGAACTGCTACTATTAGCTGAGGATGTGCTAAGTCAGGTCAAGGATCTTAGGCTTCAGAGATACTGTACCTGTCAGATCTTTGCTTGCCCT